AATAAGTAGAGTGGTGGAGAAGGGTAAAGATATAGATGAAACAAGAATGTCAGAATATTGAGGTAGACAGTCCTGAAGTAAGACTATCAGAAAACAAGTGAGAAGAAAGAAATTGTTGTAGACACTTAGGTTGCCCATGAGAAAAAGTAAAAAAACCAACAACAACAACAATGTAAAGGGGCAAAGCAAATATTCCGTTATCAGTTCTCAAGAAGTAGATGGCGTAAAGATAAATCTGGAAAAGTACATTCTGTGGGCTCAGGTGGCAAAAAAAAAAAAAAAAAAAAGAAAGAAAGAAAGAAGAAAAGCTAATGGGAATATATTCTATCTTGGATTTAGCAATAAACATATACTAAGGGGTCCAACTCTTGGTGCAGGGGCTGCAGAAAAAACTTAACCCTTTACATCAATGATTCTCAAAATTTGGTTCCCATACTATCATCAGTAGCAGCCTCTTCTGGGAATCTGCTAGAAATGCAAATTATTGGGTCCCATCCCTGGGTCAGAAATAATCAATTCCTGTTTAACAAGCCCTCCAAGTGATTCTGATGCATATTAAAGTTTAACTACTGCTCTACATTGACAATTTATCAGTGATTTTAAATGATCAGTGATTGGTAGTTGGGAGTCATTAAACTATTCCATTTATTATGTTTGAAATAATAATTCCTTAATAAAAGGTCATAAAATAGAAGACAGTCACATATTACTTGTAAAATAAAAAAGAAAAACAGATCCATATATTTGAGAAATGGTAGAGTAATGCTTCTCAAATTGTGGTGAAGGACCATTTTTTAAAAAATTCCAATCTTCTGTGTCCTAATACTTTTGCAAAAATACAATAAAAATAACTAAAATAAAAACAAATACAGAATATTAATCCTACATTTTTATTAGTAGATTCAATAGAAATAATATTTCTCTGTCAAATTGCTATGAAAGTTTCTAGACACTTATTCTCATACTAGAAGACAGTTGCACAAAGATTCGCGCAATAGGCCTTCCTTCCCCTGGCTGCCGGCACAGGTTTTCCTCCGACACCCAGGACCCAGGCCTTTGGTCCGACCATAGCGGAGAAGCCAAGCCTCTTCAGTCTTCAGTCTTCGCTCCGTGCCTGCATATGCAAATCAACCGCCATCTTTGTTGGGTTAATTTGCATACTCATCCTGATTGGCTGGTGGGTGTAGCAGAGTGATACCAATTTGCATGTTTCTCTTTTGTTAGTGTAGATTCCATTCTTTTGGTAGGGACTAGTAGCACTTTACTACTATAGATCAGTTGGTGCTGATTCATGGTCTACACTAAATACATGATTCTTGAATGATGTTCTGCTTTGTAAGCTCATAATAGTAATACAAAATAATAAATATAAACATATTGCATGTGCTACTGTTTTAAGTACTTTTTATGTATCAATTCCTTTAAACTTCCCAAAAAACTATCAGATAAGTACTACTTATTATCCCCTCTTTATGCTTCAGGAAACTACCGCCCAGAGAGGTTAAGTAACTTGCCTTAGTTCACTTTTAACTAATACTGGTCTATAAACTTTTTATTTTTTGTTTTGCTAAAAAATTCTGACAAATCAGGAAATGGGGTTTTAGGAGGGGTGGTGATGCAAAGGAAGGAAGCCATGGGGTAGATAACAGTAGTGTCTCCATCCCATGCCTGATATCATCTACTGAAGCGGACAGACTGGCATATTCAGAATGGGTGGGTGAGCCCTCGACCACGTCTGTTCAATGTAAATGTTTATCTCATCAAGCAGCTCACTAATATTGACCTCAAAGTGATCCTCCATATCACTGAGGATCTTAGCATCACTCTCACCTGACACAATTATCATGGCCAAGCCTTTGGTGCCAAATTGGCCTGCTCCGGCCACATGATGTGGGTAGGTCTCACAATACTCACGTATGTCGTTTTTTTGTTTGTTTTTTGTTTTGTCTTTTTAAAATATATTTTATTGATTTTTCACAGAGAGGAAGGGAGAAGGAGAGAGAGTTAGAAACATCGATGAGAGAGAAACATCGATTCAGCTGCCTCCTGCACGCTCCCTACTGGGGAGGTGCCCGCAACCAAGGCACACGCCCCTGACCGGAACCGAACCCGGGACCCTTCAGTCCGCAGGCCGACGCTCTATCCACTGAGCCAAACTGGCCAGGCACACGTATGTCGTTTTTAAAGGCAGTATTCAACAGCTTCATGTCCATGCCTTAGCCAAATAGGTTGGTAGCCACAGGAATTCATCACCGAAAATCTTTCAACTGCCGATACTGAGAAAGCCTCTCTTCCTGGGGCAACCCATAGTGGATGGCAATGGCTGGTTAGGTCTCCTCCACCAGGAGCAGGGCCAGGGCAGTGTAATGCTGCATATTGCTTCACAATATTTTAAGATTCTAACTGGCAAATCTGGTTCTAGCTCACACTCTTCACCACCATACAGTACTGTTCATTTTATTGCCTAGGCAGAGGTGTTGCTCTACTTAACTCAAATTATTCCCTTTTTCTAGTTCTTTGATAAAGTTAGTGAATAGGATTCTCTTTTTGTGGGAGTGGGGGTGCGGGGTGGGTGTCTCAGCTTGAAATTAAGCAGAATCAAATATACTCAAGCATATCTGAAGAGGTGTGACAACCTTTATTTCCAGGAGATCTACTTGTAAGTGGGACCCAGGAAACACCCTGATAAACTGCCAGAGCAGAGAGTGGCATGTGCCAGTTTTAAGGACAGAAGCCCAATAGTTAAGGGGACTGATGTAGTGATAATCGCTCCGATTGTTCTCTGGCCTAGCCCCACAGATTCATGCCTAAATACTAAAGGATTTCCTGTGAATAGAAATGGAAAGGGCCGTTTTATTAAAAATTTGGAGGCATTGGGACATAGGTGGTATAGTATGACAAAAGGACAGAAAAGAAATTCTCCTCTCTTCAGAAAAGTGCTCCAGAAAATTGGCATGGGCTGCCAATTCCTACTATGGACAGTGACAGGAGACAGCACCTTCAGTGCAACATGGGGACCCTCTGAACCAGGTGTTGGACATGTTAGGAGCTTCACATAAAGATGACTATGTTAGGACCACACACAGAATGAGGAAAATGGGCATGACTCTTAGTGGTGGGAGGTCAATGAGTATGTAGGAGAGGCTTTCAAGCCTTCTCCCCACATAGCAGGGAAGGACGTGGAAGGAAGACTCATAATTCAACAGATTGGGCAAGTTCTGTCAGACTCAGTGTCTGTCCGCTATTATAACTAGTTTGATTTACCATGGTGCTACAGCGTGAAAAATGTGAATTATAATCCCACACATTTTCCTTAAACCTTTAAAGTCTGTTATTCCTTAACTACTGAACAACCAGTATTAAGAAAATGCTCTGCAAGATTTCTTATTATTGTTATATTTTGTCTGACTTGTAGATTCACAGGAAGTTTAAAAAGTAGCACAAAGAGGTCTGCGTACTCTTCACTTAGTTTCCTCCAAAGGTTAACATCTTAATAACTAAAATGAAATAGGAAATTGTCATTGGTATGATCCACAAATCTTGAGATTTTTCCAGTTTTATATGCACTTGTGTGAATCTAAAATTCCATGCAATTTTATCATCTGTAGAGTGTATAATCAAGATATAGAACTGTTCCATTACCACAAACATCCCCCTTGCTACTCCATTGTAGTCACACCCAACCCCTTTTCTTCCCATACCCTCCCACTCCTGGCAACTACTAATCTATTATCCCTCTCCATAATTTTGTCATTTTGAGAATCCTATCTAATAATGAGGGAATATGCTAATTGACCCTTACACCATCGCAAAGATGGCGGCGCCCACAGCCAATAAGGAGGGACTATGCTAATTGACTGCCCTGCCCTCAAAGATGGCAGCGCCCACAGCCAATAAGGAGGGAATATGCTAATTGACTACCCTGCCCTCAAAGATGGCAGCGCCCACAACCAATAAGGAGGGAATATGCTAATTGACTGCCATGCCCTCAAAGATGGCAGCGCCCACAGCCAATAAGGAGGGAATATGCTAATTGATTGCCACACCCTCAAAGATGGAGGTGCCCACAGCCACAAGATGGCAGAGCCCAGTCCCCTGAGACCCGCCAGGGCGCCTGCCTCCGGAGTCCCCCAGTCCCCTCAGCACCCCAGCCGCCCAGGGCCGCCCGAGGCTCAGGTAACCATGGCTGGCCGAGGCTTGCGCTGCTGGCAGTGGCAGCAGCAGAGGTGTGATGGGGCGTCGCCTTCCCTGATCATCAGGTCACCTCCCGCCCCTGAGGGCTCCCGGACTGTGAGAGGGGGCAGGCTGGGAATTTTCATGCACTGGGCCTCTAGTGTTATATAAATGGGATCATGTAGTATGGAATCTTTTGAGGTTAGGTTTTTCACTCAGTATAATTTCAGATGTTTCTATTTTAGGGAATACAGGTTAATGATTATGACTTTATATTTGTCTTGGATAAAATGATATAAAAATGTCTACCTCCCAGATTTACCTAATAAATGATCTCATTTCTGACCTATACTGGTATTTTTACATTGCTTTTTTGTCTCAAGAAGTCCTAACTGTAAATATAAATAGGGTAATGTCGGTTAAATATTAACTACCACTGCATACTGGAATACCTTAAGGTAAGTGTTCAAAGTTGTATTTTGTCCAAACATCATAAATGTGGGGGGTATCTTTTATCAGATAAAGGTGTTTCAGAGGAATTTCTTAGACAAATTAAAATAAAAACACAAGGAAGGCAAAATGTTAGACAATTTGTAAACTAAATTATTATGACTGTTTTTATTGATTTCAGAGAGGAAGGGAGTGGGGGAGAGAGAGATAGAAATATCAATGATGAGAGAGAATCATTGATCGGCTGCCTCCTGCACACCCCACACTGGGGGTCAATGGAGCCCGAAACCTGGGCATGTGCCTTGACCGGGAATTGAACAGATAGCTTCTTGGTTCCTGGATCGATGCTCAACTGCTGAGCTACACCGGCCAGGCTAATGTCTTACATTTCAAAAGTATAGAGCAATTAGCAATACGGAATGCTACCTTCTTCACCATTAAGAAACGAGCAGTATACAGAACATAAAGCTTCCATGCCACGCCAGGTCATGGGAGTGATATTTGATCACTCAGAAACTCAGAAACTTTTACTGAGGACATGGTTTTTCCATGCCTTCTGAATTCTGGAATAGCCAGGATTCTAAAAGTAGTCCTAGAAGACCTAAATTCCATTCTTACCCCTGTTTTTGAATCACAGAGACTCACAAACCTATGGAGCTCAGTCCATGAGAAGTCTTGAATTTATGACCAAAAATTAGGGAAGAGAGAAAGGTTTCACCTTTTTGTTTTCTTTGTGAACTGTTTTCTTGTATCTAGGCTTCTGTTATTAAAACTACATGCTAAGTGGTTAGGAAATGTCATACAGTTTTGTTCACTTTAGTCAGGTACATTGTCTTTACATTGGAGACTTTTCGGAGTTATTGTTAATAATAAGGACAATGAATTTCAGACAGACTTTCACATTTATCTTTTTTTATTTTTATTTTTGTTAATTCTCATGTGAGGATATTTTTCCATAGATCCTTAAAGAGAGTGGAAGGGAGGGGGAGAGACAGAGAGAGAGAAACATCAATGTGAGGCACATCAATTGCCTCCCGCATGTGCCCCAAGCAGGCTGGGGATTGAGCCTACAACCAAGGGATGCCCTTGACAGGAATTGAACACGGGACCCTTCAGTCAGTGGGTCGACACTTTATCCACTGAGCCAAACCAGCTAGGGCAACATTTATTTTTTAATACTGAAATTTGTTAGCTATCTTAAGGAGTAGGACTAAGAGAAAGGACAAAATCTGTCTTTTAAGTAAAGTATAAAATTGACCTAGCCTTTTTGGGAATCATTTTGGGCAATATTTATCATATTTGAAAATGCTTATACTCTGTTCTGCAATTCTACTTCTAGGAATCTATTTTTTCAAATATAATCATATGTATGCAAAGATGTTCAGACATATGTGACATTCTTTGCAATACTGTTAGTTATTTTAAATAATTAGAAGCAATGAAAATTTCCACTATTTTGTAAAATGTTAAATCATGGTACATGGAACTATGAAATACCATGCAAGATTGAAAAAGAACGAAGTGGATGAAAAATACTGATGTGAAAAAAAAAATCTCCAAAATTATCAAATGAAAAGAGCAAATGAAAAATGGTGAGGGTCTGGTTTGGAAGGATGCAGAGAGAATTGTTATACTGGTTATCATGGGCAAGGGGTGGCTTGTGAAGAAAAATAATTATAACTTTTTAATATTTAATACTTTGAAATTTTCAAAATGAGCATGAATAATTATATATATATTTAAATATATTTTTATTGCCTTTAGAGAGAGAGGAAGAAGAGAGAGAGAGAAATATCGATGTGAAAGAAAAACATCGTTCAGTTGCCCCCTACAGGGATGGGGTCGGAGACCTGGGCATGTGCCCTGACCTGAATGGAATCTGGGGCATTTTCGTGTACAGGAGGATGCTCAAACAACTGAGCCACACCAGCCAGGGTTATCATTATATTTTTTGTATAATCAACAGAATATATCCCCCAAACAACAACAGCAAAACTGTTATCAGCTACTTATCTTGCTGATATTTTTAATATCCATCTGGCAATTTACAAACTGCAACTTAATATCTGGATTTAACATACAAAACAAAACATATTTGACCTTTTGGAAAGAGGGACTGAGATCAGATACAGTACTTTAAAGGTACCTGAGGCATTTGAAAATTGTTTTTGGCCAATAAATAAATAAATAAACTGAACCACAGAATCCATTCAACCATGAAGGCTGGAACCTGATTTTCTGGGTACCCCTGCAGTGCTTGACACATAGTAAACACTCAATAAATATTGGCTCAATGATGGATAAATAGACAGCTTAAATCTTTTTAGTAGCACCCACTTATTTAAAAGCATACCTGTGCGACATTTCTCTCTCTCATCTTCATAGCTCAATCTGTATTTCTATCTCCCTTCTTCTCTCTCTAAAATCAATTTTAAAAATTTAAATAAATAAATAAAAGCATACCTGTTACTTGAGCTTCTTGTCACTTGCTTTTCAAATTGGGGGGCAGAGAGGGAGCAGCCCTTTCTTTCTGCTTAGGAGGCTAGGAATTTGGTCCAGGACAGAGTTTAATGGCTCACGTTTTGGTGACCTGTGACTTGAAAACACCATTCAATTTCAGAACTAGGTAGAATATAAGAGGGAAATTATATATATATATATAATATATTACATAAAATTATATATAATATACATAAAATTATAGGTATACATAATTTTGCTCAAACTAGAGGAAAAGGCTCTAGTAGTGGCTGTGAATATGGGCCAATCACCGCACTCATGTCTAAATCTTTATGTGAAAAACGGGAATCACTCCCTCATAGATTTCTGTTGCTTGTTTTTTTTACATGGAGAAAAAAGGAAAACTTTTATAAAACGCTGGCATTAGGGTCGTCATTCCATATTGTGCAACGAATGTTTCAGATAAATTAAATCTCAGGCTGTGGGGTCGAAAAGCCCCCGGAGACTAAAACTACAAAAAAAAATCAAATGTTCCCCAATTCGGTGCAGTCTCTTTAATCTCATTCGCCTTCACAGCAACCACACCTAGCGGGCAGGTGCGGGTCCCACCGTCCACTTCCAGCGCGCAGCGGGCGGGCCCGCACTGGCTGGAGTTCGCCCCTGCGAGGGTCCCGAGCCCGGGCTTCCTCGAACGGCAGCGCCCGGGACTCGGAGGACGACAGCGCACGCCTGGCCTCCGGGCTTGGCGAGGGCCGAGCCGCCGACAGTCTCGCCCAGCCGGGATAATTACGCCGCGTTCGGAGGCTCTCGCGGGACGTCCTTACCTACTCTCCGGAGTCGGGTTCCCCGGTTTTCCCAGCCGTGGAGGGAGGTACCCAAGCCAGACG